AAAAAAAAAAAGATTAAATTATACTCAGCAGAGCAGACTATCTTGAGTGCTGCTTAATTTTTCATTTTTAGGGTAATGCCTCATTAATCAGACAATAGTACTAACTATGACATCCATTCTTACCAAATTGGGTAACAATGACCCAGCTTTAGAAGTCCAGATGGGAGGAAGCTGAACAAGTAGCCATCATTTTTCTTCCAGAATTCCATTCTGGTTTTTACTGTATGTATATAAAGCCAATGAATGATATAGTTCAATCAATTACCTAATGTTTCAGTATAACAGATTAAAGAACTCAGTAATGAATGATGTCATAGGATGTAACCTTTTAAAAAACCACTATTAATTTTCCTAAAACCTAACGCCACCAGAGGGGATTACTGAGCCACATAAGAGAAATCACAATTCCCAATTTAAATCAATCTATCAACAATTATAATCTTTGCAACGGTTTTATGAATAGTTCTTTTAATTCCCATTTTATAATTGTCAACATCACTCAGAAGGATCTGAATGGTGGCAAATGAAATGTGACTTTGGTTGTGGCAACCACTATGGAAGCATACTAGGCAAGGCTCTGAGCTCTGCTGCAGGTCGTACGCCATCTGGAGACCCCTGCTTTAAGTCTACTAATAGAAAACTGAATTTCCTAATAGTTTGAAATCCATGACTCCTCCTCTAGGTGTTCCCAGGAGTCACTACAAGTGTCTATTTTTGGGATATATGTGTACATGTACTTTAGGCAACAAAGAATGATAAACATTTAAGAGCAGTCTTTAATTCAATGTTTTCACATACAACACAAAGTGTTATCACTCCCTCATTTAATCAACAGGTTTACTATATGGAATGAAAAGAGGCCCTATGCAGAACCTCCAGACACAGTGAGGGAGATAAGGGTCAGGTAGAGGAAGAGAAGCTCACAAGAAGACTGTGAAAGAATGGTTCCAGAGAGAGGAGAAAATGAGGTCATGCAAGGGAAGTGAAGAGAGTGCGCTGGGAAAGGGAGAACTCACTTAATTTAATAGGATAGGACAGGTATACAGTTTCAATTCACTGAAATTCAATTCCATTTTAAAATTAGGAAGAGGAACAAAGCATTACTCAACAAATAAAACAATAAGAAATATGCTGCAGACCCATGCTATGATTCTTTGCTCTAGGTGATTTTGTCCCTTTGAGGGGAAAAAAATTCAAGGCCAAAAAAGAAAGAACAGAAGGCCAGCAGCATTTAGGCTCTGGTTCTCCAGAGCCTCACCTCACTTAGGCCTGTACTTTTAGGTACACGTCCTAATTTCTTCTCACAGTGATTCTCTAACTTATCTCCCATGAGGCTTATATCTCCCATACCCATGCTTTAATCAAACAGACTCACCTCTGAGATTTCTTTCTCCTGCTCTGAGCAACAGCTCCCATGTAACTCCAACTCACTCTCCCTCATACACTTGTATTGAATGCAATGCCAGGTACACCTACGTTATCAAAACAAGCACCCCAGTCCAGCTGGCACACTCCCACCAACAGGGCGTTCCAATGTGAGGAGCTCGTGTCTTGTGGGCAGAGTGACTGTCAGAGTTCTCTCCTCCATACGCTTAAAACCACCTTAGGACGTAGCCAGGGCATCCAAAAGTGCACCATGAAATCTATTGCTCTAAATAGGATAGAGTTCAAAAGATTGTTCTAGAAAACTTCCCAACACTTGAGGAGATCAAGGTGAGGACTGCTGTTTTCCACCCTAATCCAGACATTATTAATTAGTGCAAAAATAAGTGTCTTGGGTACGCCCCAAACCAAATGTCCTTTTGCTTAGTCTAATCATTTCCTGCTGCAGTAACCACTTAGGTATCACAAGCTAAATATTCTTAAACATTTCCATGTGTTTTCTCATCCTGCCACATCTGTTGTTTTACAATAAGCAAAGATGCTCTATGCATTGGAATATCACAGAATGTCAATAGGAGAAAAGAAGTTCTAGTCACAGAATAAAAATGAAAGGTCACCCATTATTTGCACTGCAGTAAGCACTCATAAATCCATTACTTAAGGCCATCCAGAATGAGTAGATTTGTATTGTGGCTTTCAAGGTCTGTGAATTACGCAGTCATCAATAAAGGACAAGGAGAGAATACAGAAGAGGTCTGATAACCTTTCTCTCTTTTTATTTACCGACTGCAAGGTTGGCGGGATGGGGGGTGAGGCGGGGATGAGTTCCTGTTCTTGACAACATTTCCCAGAGAGAATTTAAGCCTGAGGTGCTAACTAAAATTATTTCGTTGTCTTTTTAAGTAATTGACTCATTAATTCTCATGGATATTGATTAGTGGAGAAAAATGCATTACATCCTAATTAATGAGACTGTCTGAGTAAAAGGGGAAATGTTGCATAAAGTTAATTTGATTTTATAAATGATTTTATTAATGAAATGGTTTTCTATGAAGTTTGAAACAATCTAGTACATTAACAAAATTCAATATGGGGAGCAGGCCTAGTTGGTAATGCTGTATTATCTTGAAAAATTTATAAGCTACTGGTAAAAAATAGGCAAAGGAATGGATGGCTCTTTCTATAAAGAAACATTTCTACCTTCCTTAGGTGCAAAATAATGGTAGAATTTAAAAATTAAAGAATACTTTATTTGAAATACTAAAATATACCAAGGAACATCATTCCTGTGGGGTACAGATTCCTGGAAAGAGATCCACACGATGCAGTTACCTGGACCTTAATATTAAATCTATGGCTTGGCTCTTCACACAGTAAATATGCCTCTTATAACCTTAAATTTTTAGCTGTTCCTTTTCTTAGTGATTTCACTTGGGTGACACTATTTGCTTACATATGTAATATAAAGGGTCTGCTAATGTGTTTTTTTTAAACCATAAAAACAATTTTAAGGGAGTGTCAGATGCCATAAAACAACATAAGAGGGCCGGCCGAGTGGCGCATTGATTAAGAGTTGGCTTGGGAGCATGAGCTCTGAGCAGCAGGGCCCTGGTTCGGATCCCACATGAGGGCCAGTGATGCTGCGCCCTCTACAGCTAAGAAGATGAACAATAGTTCGACCTGGAGCTGGGCTGCTGTGAGTCACCGGTGATGGCGTAGGCTGCAGTGGGCCGCTGTGAGCTACCGTGAGAGGCTGGCAGCCAGTGTGAGTGGCCGGCAGCTGGTGTGAGCCGCCATGAGCGGCCGTCCAATGGCTGGCAAGCAACTGCCCTACCTGGGAAGAGCGCAATGATAATACCAACAAGGGCCAGTGAAGCCATGTCCTCCACAACTAGACTGAAGAACAAAAGGGCAGCAACTTGTCTGTTCCCCTTCCCCAATTCCCCAATGCTGTTCCCCTCCCCCAGTTCCTCAACAAAATCTTTAAAAACAACAACATAGAATTACCAGACATATAATACATCACATACCTGGAGCAATGAACTGTTTAACATTGGTGAATCTAGATTTATCAGCCACACTAGCCATAGAGCAGCCCTTTGGCACCGTCCAGTCACTGGGCTTGCCGGTTTTGTCCCTGTCTTCTGCTGTTTCATACACTTCTATGTGAGGGGGTTTCTCAGTTAGGTTCTTGCTGTAATGACTTAACCCATACTGTGCAATTTGGATTGGGTAGAAATAACCTTGAGGTCCCCATTGTGTAGATAAAGGTACACCTATAAAATAAAGAAACAAAATAAGTAACCATGTCCATACATTTACAATTTTGTTCTGAACACCACACTTCACTGTTTTGCTTTTGGAGATATTACAAGGTTATCAGCAAATTTGAAGCTTCCTTATTATACTATTTCCATAATTGCTAAAAAATAGTATCAAATTAACCAGATATGAAAAACAAAATTAAGTGTTCACTCACTCTCATTCATTATTTGTTGATAGATAGCAATGCCATGTTGTAGCTTATCTTTTAAGGACTGACTTTTTTTGTGTTACTTTTGCTCACAGTTACAGATGTCATGTTTTATAATCCTGTTTCATACATTCAAATTTTGCACAACTTAAATAAATGTAGATAATGTTACACAACTTTATTCTAGAACATCAATCCTGAAATTTTCTTAAATATCTGTACTTAACAATCAAGTTAACTACTTACTCTCTCTCCCTCCAATGTCAAGATGTGGTCTAATAAGTACATAATCTGATAGTTAATGTATTTGCTTAAGAAGCCAGTTGTGATTAGGCAACTTAAAGTACTAACATAGCTTGTAACTCTTTTTCATATCTTTCATGTCAAAATGTAATTCTTGAGAACAGGGAAGATTTTAAAAAATGAATTAAAGTTGTATATTTAAACATAGATTCTTAAAATAATTCATGAATGGATCATCTCTTATAAAGTTCTAAGGAAAACCTTTGAATGTTTGGTGTCAGTGTTTATTTTAGTAATTTCCTACATGGGAAATATGATCATATCACATTGCCCAGAATGTTGTATTGTTGCTTCATGGTGTATATGCTGAGAGATAAACTCCTATCTGTAGTTCTAGTCCCAGTAGAAACTGGGAACCTATAAAACCATTTGTATTCTGACAAATGTAGTTTCAACACAGTATAAGAAATTAGGAACCATATATAGGCTAAGAAACCTAGACTACAAAGAAGCTTTTTAACTTCCGTATTCTTTCTCCAAGGGGGATTTTTTTTTTCCAAAATTCAAATAGAATTATTTTCATTTAATAAAAAGCTTATACAATCTCATTAAAGATGGGTGATAACTACAATAATGTGCAATTGGCATACAAATTGAGAGACTGATTGATGTTATAGTAGGTCAGGAACATACTCTAGTATTAAAAATATTTTAGTATAATGATAAAGATTGCATCATGAATCAATGGGGAAAAGGCATTATTCAACAGGTTAGGAAAAAAAATCTAAAGTTAAGACCTTAACCTTGTACTATTTACCAAAACATAAATCAATTTAGCAGGACTAAAAAGTTAAATGTAAAGAAAAACAAAAACAAAAATATAAAACTATTTAGAGAAAATACAGATGAACAGCTGATCATAGTGAGGCAAATGACTTTCTAAGCATAAAATGAAAAGGTTAAAAAAAAGTCCCTAAGTTTAGTAAATAGAACTGAAAACTTCAAAAATTAACACATCATAAGTAAATGAAAAGCCAAATTCAATTTGGCTTTCTCATCAATCCTAGTTTGAAATACAAATTCCAAATTGTACTAATACACTCATAAGGAACCCCTACTGCTCCAAGTTTGAAAGACAATATGTAATAGACTATAGGAGTTCAGGATAAGTTCAGAGAAAATGGTATCTATGTATTGTGTTGTTCTGAGGACTTTAAACCTCCATTCAGAGATGATATCTGGCTAATCTGGTAAGAAGACTGTATTGGGACATCGATAGGTCCATTGAATGGTCTCTGTCCCTTTCCCATTCCCTCTCATAGGAGAATAACTATGTATTTTAACATAAAAATTCTGAGGCAGGTTAATGGAATAATCCTATTTAAATCAGGTATGATCTTATTGCAGCCCTTAAATCATACGATCTAGAAGGCTGCCCTAGGTTCAGACTTAATCTGTTCCTCCCTGCTAAGTCAGAGTGATGAAAGGTCTCTTGAAAGTAAGCTATGTATATACTTACTATAACTGACACCTACAGTTTCTTATCCTCAACCCAGCCAGGATAGAAAAATGCAGTGGAGCAGACAGATACCAACCTTCAACCCCACTTATACACTTGACTCTGTCTCGGACTTCCACATTGTAGCCTTCAAAGGACATAAACACACCATCAGGGTGATACGGGGCTCTCTGTGCATAGACTTTGGAATAGCTATGAGAGAATTCAAACCGATCATAGCCATCATACTGAACCATCTTTCCATAAACGTCAAAATATTTCTCCACCCAAGTGAATGGAAGAAAGATTTCATTCCCCTCTCGTCTCCCTTTAATTGTGTGCTCGTCATTTATGAGACAGTCAATTTCTTCATATTTGAGCCCTAACACCTTGCTTCCCCCATTGCTGTTGAAGCCACCGGCGACAGGGGGTGCTTTCTGCTGCTCCTGAAGGAACGCCTCCTCAGACTGTTTGGCCAGGTGATTCACATAGTTGTTACTCTCAGACGCTGCTGCTCTTTTTTCTAATCCATCCACTCTGAAACCACTACTCAAGTGCCGTGGAAACTGGATTGCTTTGTCGCTGGAACACTTATTCCACAGAAGCACTGTGACCAAAGTGAAGAGTGCGCAGATGATAATCAAAGTCTTATAGTTGACCCGAGCTGCCAAGCAACGCATATTCACACCATACCTATAGAGGCAAGAAGAAAAATTCATGCAAAGGTGTACTACGGACATTTCACAGGATGAGGTTTTCTTTATTTTTGGATGCTGAACAACCAAATTAGGAAAATTTTATTAACTGCATGTAATCTAATCAAATTTAAAATCACTAACTCAAACTTTTCAGCACAAAGAAAAGGCAAGACGTACTTTCCCCTCTTAAAATGCTCATTGCCATGATCCTCTAAAGCAGAGATTCCCTAACTTTCTGTTTCTGGCTTTATTTGTATCTTAGTAATTTTTTCACAAAGCCCCTCACCCAAATATCTACTAGTTTCATTTATATTAGATATAAATGAATATCTATATAAATATCTAATAGTTCCATTTATTAAGTAGTCAGGCCCAAACAATTTAATACATATTTTTGTCCTGATAACTTACTAGCTGTTGTAAAAAAAGTAACACGTCTTGTTAAGATAAACACTGACATCAATGTTGCCAATCCAACAGTGAGTTTTTAGTACTCATCCTCCTCGACCTCTCAGCAGTATGAAATAGTCGATGACTCCTTACTGAACACTTCCTTCCCAGGCCTTCTAGGGTGCCTTTCTCTCTTGGGTCTCTTCATACCCCACTGGCTGCGCCTCCTCAGTCATCTTTGATCATTCCTCTCACCTCCCTGAATTTTCAATGTTGGAGTGCCTTTGGGTCCCAGTCCTCAGACCTCTTCTTTCTCTATTCACTCCTAGGTGATCTTATCCAATCTCATAGCTTTAAATACAACTTATATGCTGGCTACTCCCCAAAATTTTATCTCCAGGCCAGACCTTTCTTCAGAGCTGCAGAACATATATCTAAGTGCCAATCCAGTAACTGACATCTTTACTTGGAGGTCAAATAGACTTCTGAAACATAACATCTAAAACTTGACTTCTAATCTTTCCCCTCAAACTGTTCCTCTTTCCACTGCTCAGGCCAGAAATCTTGACTCCTTTCTTGCTCACCCCACAGAAGATCAGTATGGAAATCCTGTTGGCGCTGCCTTCAGATTACACCCAGAATCTGACCTCTTTTCCGTGACCACCATGTCAGAGCCACTGTCATCTTTCACTTGGAAATGCAGCAATGATGTCCAAACTGGTCTCCCTGCTTCTACCCTTGCTCTACTATCCTACTCCCAAGTCTATTCTCAGCATAGCAGTCAGAATGATGTCTTTAAACATAAGCCAGATCATGTCATTCCCGTCATGACGAGAGAAGAATTTGATATTGTCACTGCTGGTCACATGGTGTACCAGCCAGTTGTGATTGCACGCAGGCAGTCCTGGGTTGCCTGTTGCTGGGGTCATTGAGAAATACAAAGAATTATGGGTTAGTTATTATGTTTGCAATATATGAAATATTTCAGCCTTCTAACAATAAAGGGAGTAGTCTCGTTGCTGTTTGCTGCAGTAGCTCTGTGACTTATTTTGTGGTTAAATCCACAACTACTTATTTTATTGTTTGTAATCCGCCTTCCTCTTTTCCTCTCAATGAACTCTTTTGGCACCAGTGAGATTAAACAACAAACAAACAAATCAAACCCCAAAATGAAAATCTTTAATGAATAATTAGACAATAAATTTGTTTTTCAAGAAGGTGAATGTGTAATCCACTCATTTCTTTTACAAGAGAGGGTAAACTCTGAGTCCTTGACTGTGTGAAAACAACTTTATTCTGCTCTCACCTTTGATGAATAGTTTGGCAGGATACAGAATTCCTGGTTGCATATATTTTCTTTCAAAATGCTGTAGACAATATTTTACTGTCTTACAGCATTAAAGGTTACTGATGAAAGGTTTGATTTCAGTTTGGTACTTGTCACTTTGTACATGACTTCCCTCTGGAGCTTGTGTTTAACCTAGGAATTGTGCAGTTTATTGAGAATGCGTTACAGTGCATCCTGAGTCACTATTTCAGCATGGTGTGTCCTTTCAATCTGAAAACCTGTGTTCTCTTATTCTTGTTTAATGGATGTACTATCTCCTTGCAGCTCTGAGTATATTAGAGTTCCTTTTCTCTCTGATTAGCTATATTTTCTCCAGTGGCAATTTTTCTGGTATTTTAGTCCCTCTTTCATGCTGTTAGTTTTCTTCACATGCCTAGTGATCTTTGGTTACTCGTTCATATTGAGGCCTGAATGACTCACTAGCCAACACAGATTTTCTCTGTTGCTGTGAAGGTGGCCTGTGTTTTGGCTAGATTGCTCTCCTGAGGGGGTCTCTGTGTGGGTTAGGTGTAGGCTGATTGATAGTGTTCTTCTAGGATGCGTGGGTGGAGAGTTGGCCGGCCCTCTAAATGCCAGAATGTAGTACAGGCAAACTGATAACACTAAATGGTGTGTGTTTTTTTCTAATAAGTCCTTCATTGAAAACACTTACCTGTCAACATTTGAATCATTTGTCAGCTATACCTAACATTTAGATCAAGTAAAATATAAATATAAAGCATTTTGTTACATCTTTGAGAAGTGACCAACCTCCATGACTCAGAGTAACCCTGTTCATGGGAACTGGGCTACCATTATGACGAGGCACATGAGGGGCAAGTAAAGAAAAAGAAAAATTTAAAACTTTCAATAACCTTTATGCCCAGATTTTGTTATCTGATATCATTCCTTACTAAAAGCAATCAGGGCTTCTTAGGGAAACGGGTGGATGATTCCAGGTTTGGGGCCTTGCCATGCCAGAAAACAAAGAAAACTTTCAAATATCAAAGGATCATAATCCAGAGGATCAAAAAAGTACAAGAGGATAGATAAAACAAGACTGGAAATATACTGATAATTGCTGAAGCTGAAAGATATATTGGAGGTTCACTGTATTTTTCTCTATACTTTTGTTTATGTTTAAACGTTTCCATAATTTAAAAAATAGTATCATAGCAAAAAGACACAGGACAGGAATCAGCCTAAAAGGTCCCCTTCCCCACTAGTCAAGTTGTAAGAATTAGGGCTGATGATAACTGAAACACTCAATTAATAAAAATACTCGAGTTTACAATGATATTATAAAAGAAGAAGGCCAGACAAAAAACTTACGTTATCTTCTGAAAATTGGTAACTGAGTGAAAGAATTTATCTATCTGGCCTTTGGAGGAAAACATACCAATAGCCCCAGATGTTAAAAAATTCAATTTTACAGAAAAAGGGTGGCTAATAATGTAGAATTAAAAAAAAAACCAGAAAATAAGCATTATGGGATCCCTCATGAAATTACAAATTTAGGTAAGTATTATATTCAGGTATATGTTTGATAGGGACCTGGAGATTCATATTGTGTAAAGTACGACCAAATATATTATTTTCTAGTCAAAAGGAGAAAAAAATAAAACTCCCAAATGAAGGGATTAGATGGTCATTACCCTAAGTCAGTGGTCAAATTCAATCTCATTAGTAGTGACTTATCCAGATACAGTGTCTCCTGATGAGTTAAAATAAAAGTACATGATCTATCATATATCCCAACCAAAAATGATTAACTTGGATCTCTCAGGCCTTAAGATTTAACTTCTATTATAGTTAACAGGAAATAGAAGGGGTAGGGGGACAAGTTAAATGTGGAAGCAACCAGACACATTTAGAAGGTAAGACATCCTGTATTCTTGCAGTGATATGAAAAAGAAAAAGGGGACTGGGTTAGTTTTCCTTAAAGAGATGTAAGGGATATAACAACCAGATGTGAAAGTTGGTTCTACCCTGGGAAATATAACTATGGACTTAAAAAGAAGGAAAGCTGGAAAGACATATGGAGATTGTTAATTAAAAAGAGGTTATAAAACAGCAATACTTTAGAAAACATATAGGTCTTTATTTTCTAACTTTCCATGATTATATTTATTGTTTTTTAACCATAAAAATTAAATAGGTGAAAGTCAATTTTTAAAAAAATATTGAAAGAAATATAAATTTTAAGTTAAAAATATTTATATTTAGTTTTCAAAATAGGCACTGACATTTTGGGGGGAGGCGGGAAGAGAGACAGAGGAGCTAGGATGGAGAGAAAGAAAACCTTGAATATGATATGCAGTATTAACTAACTTATCTAAAGGTAAAAATGATCATTTTATTATAATGTTGCTCAAACTGTAGAAAAACTTACCATAGAAACTTTCAAATTTCAAAGTGGACTGCACTGACATTTTGCTAAGTATAAACGATAGTAACTTTAAAAGCTAAAATGAGGGTTTTCTGCTGAATGGTGATAAGCTTCCTACTCGCTTTAAAGCTTTTGCCACATCCATGAACTAGATTAGATTAACCTTTCAAGTAAAAAAAAAAAAAAGGTTACAAACCCCATAAATTCAAAAACCTTGAAACCTCCTCTATTGCTGACCCTAAAGATTTATTTTATTAGAAACATAATGCAATAGAAATTGGTTTTAGTAACTTTGGAGACCTAAAACAGAAAATAACATTCAGTAAGCATCATACAGAAACCATGGAAAAACTTCTTTGCAGAAATAGTTAAAAATTAGAGAAAGCAAAATATAACTTAGTTGTCCTTTGGGAGAGCAAACTATCTTCTTCTAAAATGATCTGCAATTCAAAGAACTCTTCTGTGATACCTTACTTTCCAAATTTATTTTCCTGAGTATTTCAAGTAACCATTAAAGTAATCAGTAAACATTAAAACTGTGGGTATCACCATGAGTTTTTAATGCATGAAGGTCATATTTCAGTTAAAAACAACCTTTAAATAAATTTGTAAAAGATTTCATTGAAAAAAATTATTGGCTTTCTCTTTTCTCTGAATAATGTAAACCAAGGCTTGCTTGCTCATTCTTTTCTCTTATCTATCTATCTATCTACCTACCTACCTACCTACCTACTTATCTATCTATCTAACAATTTACATTTGCTATAATTCTTTGGTACCAAGTAAACAGAGGGAATAGTTGCTCAATAGATAAGCAAACTGATTGGTTCAATCAGCATTAGTTCAGCAGCTGCTATGTAGCAGGTAAGGCACTATCCTGTCCCTAAAC